GTAATTCCCTGATCATCTTACAGGTCCCCATTTCTTCTACTAACCTGCACGAAAGCCCTGTAGCAACGCATCTTGGGTGCTCGCTGATCTTTCAGCAGCTCCTAGTGTCTGCTTATACCCTTCTCCACTGAAAACTGTCAAGGTGCAAGTCAGATGGAACAGTGCAAAATCACCTGTTTTGTTATGTTTTGGTTTTTGTGTTGTGCTAGTCATTGGACAGCACATAGCCAAATGAGAGCCTTGTGTCTAAGTGTTACAGTCTAGAGATGGTTAGTTAATGCAGTAAATAATTATCAAACAGAGGCATATTTTAAAAAAAAAAAACACATGCAAATGCTAGTTGTAAAATTAACACTAACCTCTGAAGAGAGGTTGTCCTTTCTAAATTGTCTTTTTTTTTTTTTTTTTTTTTAAGAAATAGAAGTTGTTCCACCTTTTAGATTAGTGAGAGGTGATTTTTGTACCTGTAACAAGACAGCACAGGATCCATCAAGGGGAAGGATATGCACTATAGTAATGAGGTCTGAACCAGAGTTTCGTGCTTGAGTACTAATCCTATCAAAGTAAACCCTGAATCTTTCATCATTGAAACGCAGGCTCCACTGCAGGAAAGGTTGTTTCCTGGCACCTTTCCAACTTGCTTCGGGTCACGTAGCTCACAGAATATTGAATATTGCTGAAGCTTGAGTAGTTGTGAATACTGTTAGCTGGTGTGGTGCCTGGATTAAGCACATTGCTGTGGCTATGGGATTTACATGTAAATTGGGGGTATATACGGTGAATCTTACAGTTCTTTGCTCACTCTCCTGAAGTTTATAATCTCCCCTACCCTACATAATGCTTTATAACATGTTCCATATTTAACTGAATAATTCTGACATCAACAGCAGACCATTTTGAACTGCAGAAAAACAAGGAAGTGTGCTACATTTCTAAAAGAGTAACTGTAGCCATAAATTATTTTAAAGAGCTTTCAGCGGCAAATTATAGAAGCTAGACGCAGTTGTCAGCTGGCTCTTAACAGAGATGACAGAATCTAGCTGCAGTTACTTAATATCTCTGTGCTGGAGCTGCTGTCATAGGTAGATGCCTTAGCTTGCTTTTGGTGACATGCAGAAGGTGCCTGTAATAGGGCTTCATCTAACTGAGAATCAAAAAATCCTGTGATTGAGTTACTTCTATCTCTGTTTGTTCTGTTACATGATTACTTAGTGGTGAATCTGGGAGAGAGGTTTCTTGCTGGTATTTTTATCTTCTGAGTAAAATTGGTCATTCTTCAATTTTTGCTTGTGTAAGTGCATATACATGGGTAGAATCTAATATTAAAAATTGGACAAAATCTGCACTGAAAACCTCTGAATGGCAGCTTGTGAGCACAGAAGCATGGCACACTGCTGTTCCAGACGGTGGGTGCTAGAGGGCAGTATTTACTAATAATATGGTAAAAGTGCAGTAATTTCACTAAAAGAGTTTGGAAGTCTATTTTGAGGACTTGAAGTCAGTGCAGTTCTTTGTGTGTGTGTTTTTCAGTTTGACTTGCATGGTGGAATAATACCACCAGTGTTGTGGCTTTTCTTTGCTTGCTTATTAACAGTAATCATAACCTCTTCAGGTTTATTGGGACTACCTGGTCTTAGAACATTATATTTATGAAAATCAGAGGGGAAATATCCCTTCAGTAAAACCTTGCCTGCTAGGTTCTACTTAAATAATTTGACCTACTTTTTGTGTTACAGGTGAGGATGGTTTAGAGCAAAGTGTCCCTTTGCCTTGTGGTTACTTTCTAATCTCTTTAATGCATACAAGATAGAGGTGTTTGTGAAATTAGAAGAAAGTGTGTATCTGCTTTGGTAAAACATTTTAATCAAAAATATGAAAAGGAGGAAATAATTGCTTTTAAATATCAAGGAAGTAATGTAGTTCAAAACGACGCCTGCATAATATGTACCTTCAAGCTGATCACAGCCACTGCAGGGGATATCTCAGGAACAGAGTATGTTATTATTCAGTAGAGAGCCGTCTATTGAAGACATGACAAAGATATATCCGGGGAAATAGCAAGAATGTATTAGAAGTTGAAAATGGTGGTAGAAATGGATTTGTTTTGTTTTCTTGAACTCTTAAATAAATAAATTGGCAGGTTGGATGCCAGGCTTTATAAAAGCCTCCTGAACATTGAAAGTGGTGAAGTCTGGTCATCACAGCCTTTTTAGTTCTATGGACAGGATGGTTCAGATACTATCAGATGCTCAGTTGAGGATGTAGGAGTACAATTTAGAGAGAGCTGTGCTAAAGGGCTTGTCAGGAAATGTATGCATCATTTAGTCTGTGCCTTAACCAACCCAGTTAAGCGTTTATGGAGTAAGCAGTAATTTATTAACATAGGATCGATTATGCTTTCGGCTTCTCATTTGCTTACTTCCAGGGAAAGCTTAATAGGAGGACTAATTTGCACTTTTGTATGAGCTAAAAAGTAGTATATTAAGCTTTATGTCTGTCTATAAATCTTCAGAAGTGGAAAACAGAGCACATGATCTATGCAACTGAGTAAAATTTAGCAATGTCCGTCTCACTCTTATGTTCCTAATTTGTGGGGACTTTCTGTGCAGTTTGTTTCATGAAAATAGATTGTGTTGCCTTCCACATGCTAATACTTCAGTGAAAACTGAGAAACTCTTAAGGTGTCATAAATGCTTAGCTCTTCTAATGCATACTGTATTTTCTCTATATGATGTCATGAGTTTGAAAGTTTGCAGAAACTAAAGGTTTTCTGTAGCCACTGCAGAAGCACAAGTTCTTAGTCTTACAGTAGTATAAGTGCTGAAGCAGCCTCCTATTCTTCAGATGTCATCTGCTTTTAAAGGCCACAGTAGAACAGCATAGTTCCTTAAAGTGTTAGTAACTGACAATATCTGCTTTTGAGAATGAAACTTGACAAGTGTATTTTAATACATATCAGCACAGGAGAAGAAGGTAGATATGGTTGATTTTTATGTTGGAAATAGTGATTTGTACATTTAAGTTTTTGTATAGAACCAGGGTTTTTTTCCATAGTCAAAAAGATGTATTGAATCAAGTTGTTTTTATGTTTGTTCTGGCGTCCTTTGCTGATTTCAGTTAGTGGTACATATATGTAAGGTGAGAACAGGGACAGTTTAACAGAGCAGGGTTTTGAGTTCTTTAAGACTTTGGGGGTTATTTTTTGCAAACATAGGCCTGCTGAGGGTGGTGATTGTTTTTGTTGATGTTTTCAGTACGGTATCACAAAATAGTAATTTGAAAGAGATGAGAATGGGGACTTGGGGGAGGAAGAAGCTTCTCTGAGGGGCTAAAAATTGTGTGATAGTGGTTCTGCTGCTGCAGTTATTTCCCACTTAAAATACTTTCATGCTAAGCTCAGGAATTTTTAATGTAGTAGGCAATTGTCACAAACAACCTTAGCTCTTAATAAAACATTTTTTTTTGTTCTTTTCCCCTCACCACCGCCTTTTGCAGCTTTATGCTATTCCTTGGTTTCTTACAATGTTTACACGTGAGTATGCATTCTTTGATTAAATGTTCTTGTATTTCTTAAGCATATTTTTTCTCACTTTTTCAGCTAAAGCCTTGCTAATTGGTGTGATGTGTCTGTCATTTAGTAGGTCGCTTGTAATCTGCGAGGAGCTGGTGTTGTGATTTGAGTCTCAACAGTGCCTGTCACATACTTTCTGCCCTGATGTGACAATAATTAGCCTTGTCTTATTTTTTTTAAAAGTACTGTATCAAATTTGAACTGGATTATTTTACACATGCAGTATTTAGAGAGTGTGGAAAGGAAGCTGTTACCTACTGGAAAAACATAATAGTTTAAAATAACCAAAAAAAAACCCCAAAAAACCACCAAACCCAAACTTCACCACCTTCCCCTGCCCTCACTCAGATAATGCAAGAAAGGGAGTAACTTTGTTTTTGAAGGCCAACAAAACAAGCCCTTTTTTATTGCACTTTCACACATTATTGTTCTGCTAGCAATAGTTTACTATATTTGTGCATGGATGTTACGAACAGAAAGAGCTTTATAATTTTGTGAGCTTTTAATAAAAAAGGACAAAGTTAATAAAGCAAGTCTGGAAAGCAGTTAAAAATCTTATTTCCTTTAAGATCTCTGTGTTTTATTTTAATTTCATGTCAACATTGGCAGACTTCGAATTAAAAAAAAACGTGGCAGGATGAAAAGAGCTGATGGATTATTTCTCTGATGAAATATCAAAGAATTTAATGTGAGATTCTTGATTGCAATTTTTAAAAATCTTGCCTGTAAAGTACTGGTTCTTACAGTTGTCCGTTCTTCTGAAACTTTAATGAGAATCACCACCTGTGGAAAATTAAGGAGATGGTTTCCTTGGCAATGAATTGCAATAAAATGTTAGAACTACTTAGTTGAAGGATATCTTATTTTAGAAAATGAGAGTGACCTTCAGCTTTGTATATAATATGTTGCTGTTTTTACCAGGCCTTTCTCCTTGTCTTTTCTTTATTCTACCAATTTCTGGTCTATTCTGCTGATTTTCTTGTCTAATTTTAAGTATTTGAGCTTATTGATTAACTCATTAATGTCTTCATACTATTGAAAAAAATTATATGCATGTCCTAGTGCATAATTGCACTGTACCAAAAGAAAAATTGCCTAATTTTATGTGTGTTTGAAATCTGAAAACCTGCACATTTCTAAGTATTTAATAGTGAAAGAAGACCCTGATGATTCCCACAATAATCAAACTGCATATGAAGACAAACCTGTTTCTAAACAGGTCAAGTCCTTTTTGCTCCCACATAAAAAAGAAATAACCCTAAGGCAGGAGAGGCAAAAAGCATATAGGCATCTCCTTAAGAGTATGCATGTGTGTGTATGTTTTTATCAATTTATATGCTTATAACCTTTTTTTAATGCTTGTTCATCATGCAGATGTCTTTCCTTTGCACAAAATTTTTCACTTGTGGGATACATTACTGCTTGGAAATTCTTCCTTCCCCTTCTGTATTGGAGTTGCAATACTTCAACAACTGAGGGATCGCCTGCTGGCTAATGGATTCAATGAGTGCATTCTCCTTTTTTCAGACTTACCAGGTACAGAAAAGACCATTCCTTCCCTCTTTCTCTGTCTTCCCCGGTGTGTCACTGAAGAAAGTGTGTGCTTGCATGTGAATATATACTACAAATCTTATACGTGTTTTGCAATCCTAGTAGATTCAGACAAACACACTGTGTGAATGTGTAGGTCTTAACTACAGCTTGATGAAGTCAGTAGAAGTCTTTTTGTTGCCATCCGGAAGAATTGGATGAGCTTATTATTTCCGGGTGAAGGTTGGAGGACTTTCTTGTGAAATTTAGAATTATTTTAAATCATAAGCGGTTGTTTGTGGACATGCCACATATAGAAACAATCCAGTTGATAGGGACTTAGTGAAAAAATTTAGTGCTGTGCAGAACAGCGCTTTTCCTCTTTGATGCTGGTACTAGCTGGTTTTCCTTTCAAAAATAATTAAACTTCTGACATGGAAGCAATTAATGTAAAAGAATTACGGAAAGCAGTATAGAAGCCAGTGGCATTGCTCTGTGTTAAATGAGTTTCCATTTGAAATGTAAAGCTTTCAAAAGAACTCTCAAAATCAAATTGGAGGCTGAGTGATCATTATGCAGAAGTTCTGTTGTCTCGTTCAGTGGGAGGCTGTTGACCCATCTATCCATACAAGCAAGTGTTGCATCTTTTAAAAAAAATAAAATTGCAGTTTACCATGAAGTTTGGGTCTTATTTCTGAGCAAGTTTCTAATGAGTCGGTAGAATGCATTTGAAGTGATTAAGCCCTGTTAACTGAAAGCTGTGGTTCCTTTTGTGATGGACTAATATTTACGTAACACATGAACTGGAAGGCTACTGCACCCAGAATGTACTTATGGTTTTGTATTAGTTCCTTCCCTCCAGTCCAAGATCTTACTAACATAATGCAGGTCTTGGTTAAGAGGTGACACTGGTTTAATTGTGTGACCTTTCTTCAGATAACTTTAAAATTTTTACTAATTCCTGGGCTAATTATAGATGTAGTGGGCTCTGTTTGAACACCATGTATGCTGTTCAATAATTTGTAATTCTTTTAAACAAAAGTCATTCTTTTTCAGAAGAACTGAATGAGAAAATGAAGCTTGCAAGAGCATTTAAGCTTAAAATCTCTTGTTAAGTATAGTAGTCTCCACAGCTGCAGATTTTACAGTCGTTAGCAGTAGTCTAGGATATGACAGCGAGCAGGCTAAGGCTAAGTTCATAGTTGCATAAATCAGTCTCTCAGAAGTTCAGGGAGTTCTCACAGATGGAGCTCTGATTTTTCTAAATATTGTTGTGGCAATTTCTGTCTCTCACTGTATACCCTTGAACGTGTGTCCAGTTTTCAAAATTTTGGATTTTTGTGAACCTTTCAGTTGATATATACTATGCAATTGCTACTGTATTTTTCTCTTTATAAGAAATTTAATTAAGCCATTCCTTACGGTATGGATTTTTTTAATTTTCAGTCTATATGCTTAGTCATTTCAAATGTCCTTATCAAATTTAACTGGTTACCTTCAGATGGTCTGAAAGGTGAATGCTAAACTAAGAAATTGTCTCTCTCCCCCTTCCCTCCTCCCCCATCTATTAGCTGTATGTCTTGGTTAAATATAGATTCATTAATATTTAACTTATTTTCTTGCCTAAGGTCATTTCTCGCTATCTTTTTTCCCTTGAGTGGCTCTAAATTATATATTTCCATTTATCTTGAACCAGCTGAATTACTGACAGTTGAAGTACTTTATGCTGAGGTCATGTGTAAGAACACATTAGTGCTCATAGTACGTGTCTGTTTATATAATGAAATCAAATTGCTAAAATCTGTAATGTTATAATGTATATAGTTCATGACAACTTTGCTGATACTCTGGTGGGAAACATTTTGGTAGAATGGTGTTTCTGAAAAGATTCTTTTTTTTTTTTTGAACGTTGGTGATGTCTGCAATATTTTGGCAGGTTGAATATTGTGAGATTAATCCAAAGCATATAATAAACCGACTACTGGTTGAAAAAAGAATGAAGATGGAAGATGATCCTACTGTGACTTAAAAGTTAAATGTTATTGGGTCTAGCTGAGACTTATGTAATCAGTAGCTTCTTTGAACATATACTTATCATAGCCTTGTGCCTTCTCTTTCTGAGTCTTATTTCTACTTAAGAAGTATTGACTGCTTATGCTTTTTGTCACCTCTGTCTTCCAAACAGGACTTCTGTTAGTTCGGTTGAAATAAATTGTTTGCTGTGCCTGAGAATTTTCTGAAACTAATTTACAAGCAACCTTCATCTGAAACTAGGTGACCCCGAGGAAGAGATTAGATTGTTCAAAACATCTGCAATAATTTCAGTCAACAATCAGTTGTTGCTCAGTGGTCTGAAACCCCAGTGGTTTGTAAGCTTTCTGTGCACTGGAAGGGCTTATCTCAGGCTGCCAGTGAAAGTGACTCGCTTTCCAGGCTGATAAAGCTATTTTACTGCAATCTTGCGACTTTGTGGAACACTTTTTAAAAATTTCTTGGTTTTAGAGTAGCTATTTCTAAAAATGTATATTTAAAGTAGAAAAAAAAAAAAAAAACAAAAACACAACCAAAAAAACACTACACTGCTTTGTTTCCAGTTCACTGCATATAACACAGTTTCAATTACTGTTTAAAAAAGTTAATGATGTGAGGAAAAAGAAAGGGCAGTGTGCCACTGTTAACTACTTGGTTCTGAAAACCCTTTCCAATGCTTTGGCCATATTTTATCTATAAACCCAATACAATTGGGCATTCCTTGCTATTTTCAGGAGCTCTGCTGGAGATTTTAAATTGTTTTTATATAGTTTTAACAATATTTTAGCATATTAGGAAAGCTAGTAATTTGAAGTATTTGACAAAGTGATTGGTTAATTAACAATACTGGAAAATCCCTTTGCTGTAACAGCAAATGTCCTATTTCATTCCTCATGGGGGTCTATAATGGGAACATATAAGCAACTGCTAAAACTTAATTATAATTAGATTTTTTAGGAAGTTACTACCCCAAAGTGTGTGGGTTTTTTTTTTTAATTATTTTTAATTTGTTCTTTCTTTTTTTTTTTTTTCTCCTTATGCTTAAGGAGCTCCATTAAGTATAAACTTTATTCAACCAATATAACTACCAGAGAAGATTTAGGAGTACTATTTGAGACAGATGAAGAAAACCAACCCTGGAGACTTTCCTACTTCGTCATGTGTAGCTTTGAGATTTAGTAAGTTTCATCCTATTTGGGTGATGCAGAGAGAGCAAACGCAGTGTGCGTTAGCTTTGTTTTTCCTTTAAGTCTGACACATAGCAGGAGTTTCTCTTAACGTGGGAGAAACAGCTGTACCTGGTGCCATTATAGTGACATGCCAAAATGCTGAATCCCATGATGGGGAAAGCCATATAAATGCTTAGAAGAATTACATCTAGCTCAGAAATAGACTAAAGGTGAAAAAATAGTGGAAATTCTGCACTAAGATTGTATGGTGCAATTTTGAATGATGTGTTTCTGCTGACAGCAGCAAAATTAGATGCACGTCAGAGAACTCTAGTTTAGATATGTATCCCACCCTAGGTGGCTGCTATTTTACTTTCTGTTCTTTTTCTTCCTGAAAATCATTTGTCTGCCCACATCTGTGATTCATACGCTTTTAATGTGCCAGAATTTCTGGTGGTTCAGCATTTAGTTAATTAAGATTTGGTAGCAGGAAGAAATGGCAGTCGGCCGCCAAGCCCACACTGAGTTTGAGGGTGTTTGGTGCCTGTTCCCGTTTGTTTCACCACTTCTCAAATAAAAATGTAAACTCTGAGATCAAAACAACAACTTTGAAGAGACTGAAACAGTTACAGTGGGGTCTTCCATGTGCCAGTAATCAGTAGAAAAACAAAGGTAATGTACAGTTTTGGTTAGGGTTTGGCTTTATCATACAGTTTTGAAAATGTTCTGTTGCTTAGATTAAGGCTCTGAGGAATAGATGTCGTAATAGCTCGTTTAAAAGAAATCTTTTTTCATTACTTCAGCTATGAAATTTTGACATGTGGCTTTGTTGTAGCTTGCCCAAGTTCAACACTGTTGTCCCCCGTGGAAGATGACACTGCAAGGTGATTTATCATGGAGTTAATGAAGCTGGACTGCTTTTTCAAATTACAGCATATCTGAGGAAAAACAGCAATTTGGTCTCTGTCACATGTTGTGCACGATAATGGAGCTATAACTATAACATTAAAAAATTGGATTGGAAATACCAAAAGACATCAGAAGCAAAAAGGAAATCACATTTCCAGTTTTCTGTTCTTGAAAGATGTAGGTCTGACTGATTTTTATGGAAACATCCTTTTTTGAACCTTTTACTCATCTTTGCTGTATTAGATGGCTTTTTTAGATACAAGTGGCAGGTGTATTTTATAATGCAATTCCTGAAGACTATTGATGCTAAATAATGGCATTTATGAAGCAGAAGCTGTGCATAGCTGCTAGTAAGTGATTTTTTTTGTTGGTTTGTTTTGCTTTTTTTTTTCTTTCAATGGGTTACAGCCAACTGTGGGTTGGGAGCTGGCTTTGGTACAGAAGCAGAGCAATCTCTTAGGGCACACCTGCTCACCAAGGCTGTTTGGTAGTGTCAGACTCTGTAAGATTGATGTCATTTTACCTGAAGCTGTGAATTCTTTAATTATTCACATTTTCCACTTGTAGTGACATGAACAAAATGCAGTTGTATTTATAGATTCCACCTTCTTGACACTAAAGAGAAATGCTGTGGTGGGTGACACACTAAGGAAAAAATAACAAAATCCTTTAGTTTATCCATATTAGTGTTCTTGTTAGTCTGTAGTTGTCACTGGCAGAAGGAAATCAAATATATATCCTTTAACAAAGAACTGTCTGTCTCAAGAGATGGTATTTCATAAAAAGGGTGAAAAGTGAGTTCATCAGTAGAGCTTTCTTAGTGCATGTCTTAAAATCAGTCTGAGGCACAGCTGATGCCTCCTGTTTCTTGATAGAACCTGTATGTACTCTTGCTAG